CACACACACACACACACTTTCCTTTTTTTTCAAACATGGGGGCAGTAGACTCACATCTTCAATGCTGAGAGATAAAAAGATGCAAGGAAGAAAATCAAAAGGCAAAACCATCAGCAGCACCAGTCACCAACCAGTCTGTTGTCAGGGAAGGATTATTTGTGCTTTATACATATTGTACTTCCATCACTTTGTTCCCACTCACCCTGATATACAGTGTGTTACAAAAAGGCAACCTCACTGAGATTTTCAGCATTAAAAAAAGTTGCGCAACTCTAAATAAAAAGGTTAAAACTAGCCCTCCTCTACATCCTCTGTGCTGAACAGAGTATTCACCAAAGAGTGCCTGATCATTATAAAACACATACTAATGATGAGATTAGAAGCAAGGACTTGATACTGTATACTGTATATGTATATATACTGTATATATGATATACTGTATTTCCTTACTAAAATTGTTTGGTTGTAACAATTTAAGAAAAGTCTGGTTTTGGTGGGAATTATGTAACCTATCTTTATTTATTAAGGGTTGCAGAAAGGTTAATATTTGGTTAGGACAACATGATGGTTCATGCTGAAAAATGATATAAATTTGTGTTTTTATATGTTTTTTGCATAAATGTGAAGAAGTATCTTAAATGTCAGGTATTTTATAAATTGCAGCCATTTTTGTTTCTTAATATTAAAAAAATGACTCTATCACAACACAGTAGGCTAGATTGATATCACATCAGGGCTGTAACCAGGACTTTAGAGGTCATGATTTTAAGTCTCCCTGCCAAAAAAGTGTATGTTTTTGCCAACTTTAATGTCAAAATTATCCAGAAAGATTAAATTTAGTCCACAACTTTCCTCTTATAGGTGAGAACACAGTTTGATGACAGTGAAACTCACTAATGAGACTGTTGTTTGAGGCCCTGCACAAAGGAAATACATCCTTATATGAGTTTCCACAGACAAAACATGGTATTTATGATGAGTAATATTAAAATATGACCTGATACCATGGCTCATGTTATTGTAAAGCTGGTGTTGTTTAATAACAGCAACAGCAAGTTTACAGTGCACTAATCCTAATAACTGCTATGGAACTAATAAACTAACAGTGTGAGCGACGAATACGTTGTGGAAAGCATATGCCCCTGTGTGTGTATGGGTGTGTGTGTGTGTGTGTGTTAGGGGGTGTTGTTGCTGCTTGTCCACAACTAAAATGCTGATGCAGCTCCACTGATTACTCCTTGTCCCGTAATGATTTCCAAACGGGGCAGCCATCAATAACACAAATCTGCATTTCTCAGAAAAACATCACCCTCGTAGGGCTCCTGGCATCTTTTTGATCCCCCCACCCCCCACACACACGTTTTTTAATTGTATTCTGCATAAAGGTAGAGGGGAGGCATCGGGTGCGTGGCTTTAATGGGATGCTGCTGTGGTAGTGGGGAGTGGGTTACATGCTCTCTGAGGAGAGCTCGGCTGTAATTAAGAAAGGGAACAAAGCAGAGGAGACTAAAAACACATGAAAGAGAAGAAGCGTATCACCTAATCACTGTACGTGCACCATCCACGCTGTGTAAACACACACACTTTGAATGCAAGAAAGAATCACACAGTGAACACAGAACAGTTCAGACGGCACACCTGAGCCTCTCAAACGACGGTCTCATGTGGAGCATGCAAGGAGGGCTGTTTTCTTATGTTAGTACACAATGTACACATATTGGGAGCATCAGATTCAGTCTCATCTAAACAAATGCCATTTTAAACTCTGTGGGCTAGTGCCCCCCAACCTGAGGCCCAGGACCCCCTGAGGGGTCACAAGATAAATCTAAGGGGTCACTGAAATTCTTTAAGAACTTAGATCAATCATAACGCATGGTGCAGTTAGTTTTTC